TCCATCCTTCCGTGTCCACAGTGACTACCGTGTGTGTCTTGCCCTCCCTTTTCCTTGTGCATTTCCCTCCCATATCAAGACCTTCAGATCGAGGGCAATGTGGACCATTTCCCAGTTTTCCAGCTGGGCAACTCACCAAGAACAAACCCAGACATCAAGCCCAGACCAAAAAAATCTTCTTGTTTTAGACAGAAGACTCCTACATCTGGGGGATTTAATGCACCCACTGTCCGCGCAGCGCATTTCCTGTGTCCGGAGCTTCTCTGCCTGCCGGCTCTGGTCTCCCAAGTTTCCATACCCTGCTGCCAACTTATAATAACAGAGGCAGCAGGCAGCCGGGTAGGAACGTCATAGCCCACTCTGTATGTGGGCGCATGCTTTGCAAACTGAAACAAAGCTTGGAAGGTCTTGTTGCAAGCCTTTAAGCCTTGACAGTGGTTGCACCCAGACCACCAGGAGCCTGGAATTAAATACCCTCAGATCCAGTTCTCAACCATTAATGTTATCAACTCCATCAAGTACTTCCTCTTTGAACAGTGTCTGCAGAGAAATAAATAAATCAAGCTCCTCCAAGTCCTGTTCCTGCCCGGATCCTGAGTCAGAGGTAAAATCTGAGTTGAATTATCTAGAGCACTGTCTCCCTCCTTCATTGTTCCCAAAGATCTGGGCAGGAACGGAGAGTGAAATCTCTCCAGGACATTACATCAGTTCCTCTTTTACCCTTGGCATGAAAGTTCTTCCTCTCATAGTCCTCCCAGACTTCCTAAGGCTTGCCCTGAGTGCAGCCCACACACTGAGCCTTGAAGCCCAGGACATCAAAGAAAGCCTGCAGGTAACCAGATTACTGACCAACGCCTTTGTCCGTTCTGAAATTTATAAGACAGGAAATGGATTCAGGAAATGGAACTTTTTTTCAATATATGGTCTTCATCATCCTTAAGTATTTTTAAACCTTAATAAGCTTTTAAGTAAAGAGAGACATTCTATAAATGACAATTAGAAGAAAATATATGAAAGTTCAAAATGAAACTATCTTCAGTAGTTACTGACAATGATCATACTCTGTGACCGATGAAAAGTGAACCATGGACAAAAGATAAATCCATTTTTACGGGAAGAAGAATTGAGATCTAAAAGAGGTCCATGTTAGCCATAAAAAAAAAAAAAGGAAAGAAAGAAAAAAAAAACCTTACCTTGTCCCCAGAAGATTACAGATCATTTCTATCATAAGATTATTCTGATAGTTATCCATTCAAGTTAACTCCATTGGCATAGTCAGTATCCTGTAAAATGAGAAAGTTACTGCTTGTTATTCCAACCTGTGTCTTTGTGAGGTTGATTAAGCACTTAAAAAGGAAATTTTTCATAATGGAAATTATGAAACCTATACAAAAGTAGAGAGACTTAGATAAGGAAGCACCACATACCTATTACCAGTTTTGATCATCAATCACAGCCAGCTGGTTTTCTCTGCCCCCCACTTATTCTCTCCTTCACCTTCCCAGATTATTTTAAAGCAAATCCCAGATATATATTTTCATCTGTAGAAACATCAGCACATGTCTTAAAAGAAAAGGACTCAATAAAACCATAATCATAGAACTAGCACATCAACCAAAAACTAGTATTTCCTCGGTATTATCAAATGTCCTATTAGGGGTTAAGTTTTCCCAACTATCTTGTAAATGATTTTTACAGTTTGAATCAGAATCCAAACAAGAGTTTATACAATGCAAGGGGTTGATGTGTCTCTTAAGTCTCTTTCAATCCACAGTGGATCCTTCTTGTATAAGCCTTTGAGAGCTCTCTCATGCATGCTTATGATCTTTCTTTCCTTGGGTTTTTTTTTTTAAGCTAGCCATTAATAGCATAACTTTTTTCCGTATATATTACAGATTGAGAGTATCCCCAACTTAAAATGCTTGGGTCCAGAAGTCTTTTGGGATTTGGGATTTTTTTCAGATTTTGGAATATGTACATATATACAATGAGGTAACTTGGTGAGGGGAAGCAAGTCTAAATAGCCTGAAGGTTATTTTATATAATATGTTTAATAATTTTGTTGATGAAGCAAAATTTCATGGTATGGAATTTTCCACATGTGGTGTCATGTTGAGGCTCAAATAGTTACAGATTTTGGAGCATCTGAAATTAACATTAAGGATGCTCAGCATGAATCTCCCTCCTCCCCCCCACACCACACTCACCTACGTCCTTCCCCAGCTACTTTCAAACTGCTCATTTTGTTTTTTAATGGTCTGTTCTCTTTCACAGCTTCTGTCATCACTCATTATGACCACCCTTTCCTTTAAGTGTGTGAACTTATTTATAATAGCTACGTCATTTTTGCTAATTCCAGCATCTAGATTACCTAAGATCTGTTTCTGTTGATTGTCTTTCTTCTTAATTATATGTCACATTTCTTCTTATGTCTAGAAGATTTTTATTGGATTCTGAAAATTATAGATAAACACAATTTAGAGACTTTGGATTATGTTATATTCCTCTGAAGAGTTTTTTTATTTTGTTTTGTTTTGTTTTGTCCTATCTGGCAGCTAATTTATTAAACAGTCACTTCAGAGTTGTGGAGGCTTGGTCTTAAGTTTGATTGGGCCAAATCTGTTTCTTTGTTGGGATCTCAGCAAGATCCCTTTGTCTTAGAGCAGAGTCTGCTCCTAAGATATGGCAGTTCTGGGCTAGTAGACATCTAGAAGTGTTTACAGAGCCTTCTCACTTGATGAGAATCAAACTCTGAACACTATTTCTATTGTCATAGCCAGTTGCTGAGACTTCTGCTTATACCTACCAACCATACAACTATTGCTTTTGAGTGAACTCCTTAAAGCTGCCCTGCACATATACTGTTTAGGAATCAGACAAAAATCAGAACTCTTACATGACAATTCAGTAGCTCTCCCTCTGAGTCTCCCTCCTTTATTAGAATTGCTTCTGTAATTTTCTGCCATTTTAACCTCTACATATCTACCTCAAGTAACTTTCTGTTCATCTTCTAATGTCCCTATGCTTCGTGCACTAAAGTACTCTCAGGGGAATAGCTGTATTAATATGGATCTCCTATGCACATCCCTTCTCTCGAGAATAAAATCCTCTTCAGTTTTTGTCTGCTTTTGGTCATTCACTAATATCTTCAAATGGGTTTTTTGGTTTTGGGGTTTTGTTTTGTTTTGTTACCAGGGACTGAACTCAGGGGCACTGAGCCACATCCCCACCCTACCTTGTATTTTATTTAGAGACAGGGTCTCACTGAGTTGCTTAGCACCTCGCTTTTGCTGGGGCTGGCTTTGAATTCACAATCTTCTTCCTCCTTCCTGCCTCAGCCTCCCCAGCTGCTGGGATTCCAGGCTTGCACCACTGCACCCAGCTCAAATGCTTTTTTAAAACATTTCTTTGAAGAAAGAGTAGTCTCATATAAGCCACTCTGCATTACTGAAACTAAAACTCCTCTTTATTACATAAGTGGTAGCAGCTCTAAGATCTGCTTTTCATGGCACCATTTACCATGGATATCAGCCCTTAGCAATGTATTGAGATGCTCCTAATTCCTTTTGACAGTTTTATAGTACTCCATTATTTAGAGATATATTATGWTTTATTAACAAATCTTATAGTGATAGCTATTCCAATGAATGCCTTCAAGATGATCTTGTAATATCATGAACAGTATTTCTTTTGTTTATGTCTCATGTGATAGGTGTGATCTAATAGAACTTAAAAATAAAAAAATTCTTTATTTTCCTGATAATCCAATAGGAAACATGAAGAAAATACCCCCTTCTGTCTCTGTTTACTGACTCTATTTGATTCCCATATCCCTTTTATGCATTCTTCATACGCAGATTGTCTTAATGGAAAAAGATGATATCTCTATCTTAACTCAGAATCATAGGCAAGTCTTTGACCAGAATTGGAATCAGCAAGTAGGCACAGCCTTTTGGTGAGACAGCTCTGGGAACACATGTGGCCAGAGACCTCATTGAGATGGATGTGAGATTCTATAGAAAGCTCCATTTTTCATGGGTGGATCCCTGTCCTTCTGAGTCTTAGCAGGAGCCCCTGAAACCACACATGGGCTGGTCCATCCCTCAACCCAGTGCCCAGAGCTGCTCCTGTTGATGAGCTGTGCACTGCTATCCTCACCAGCTTGTAAGTTCAAGTAGGATGGGGTGCCTGTGTCGTTGGGGTACCCACCCCTCCTCCTGATTTCCAGTCTGAGCATTTATAGGGTCTATGTACTTGGAAAGGTGCTACTAAAAGTTCTTTCAAGGGCAACAAGATTGTCATTCTGTAAATTAGGGCCACAGTGTATGCTGAGAGCAAGTTTTGATATGACTTTGTGTCCTAGTTTCTATGTGACAAAGTGACAGATATTGTAATGAGTATACAAATCCCAGAATCTGCCGAGAGTCTGATTCTAATCTGCCAACTGGCTGTGTGACCTTGGGTAAGTTGCCTATATCTTGGTTTTATCATCTGCAGAATAGAGGTGATAGTGATGTTTCCCGCTGAGGAGCATTGTAAGTTTTAAACAATAAAATCCAGGACCAGGACCTAGTCATTGTTAATCATCATCATTATTATTAGCAACAGTTCCTGGAGAGAGTATAAAAATTGGGTTATGAAAATGTGAGTCAGTAAGAGCATCTAGAGAGAAACCCTAAGGACCGGTCACCTCTGAAACCTACATGGAAGAGTCAAGTGAGAAAAAAGTAAAGCATAGAAATTGGGCTCAGTTGTGTCTCTCAGCTACTTCTAGGTGAGGAATTGGAAAGTTTGAAGACATTCCTAACTTGTCTAACATTGGGGAAACAATTTCAGGTATGTGTACTTGCATCTCATTTAAGCAATGGAAAGGATGCTCTGCATCCCGGGGAGAAAGCAGCCCCATGGACATACACAGCTGCCCATAGATCCCCCATGAGACCCACCCCTGGCCTGCCCGTTCACTGGGGTCTGTGATTGTGTTTCCCTCTGCCCCACAGATAACTGTGTCCAGAGGACCCCCAGGCCATCCGTGGAGAGCGTGCACCACAACCCTCCCACCATTGAACTCTTGCACCGCCCTAGGTCACCCATCACGACCAACCACCGGCCTTCTCCTGACCCCGAGCAGCGGCCCCTTCGATCCCCCCTGGACAACATGATCCGCCGCCTCTCCCCGGCCGAGAGGGCCCAGGGACCGAGGCTCCACCAGGAGAACAACCACCAGGAGTCCTACCCCTTGTCAGTGTCTCCCATGGAGAATAATCACTGCCCGCCATCCTCCGAGTCCCACCCGAAGCCCTCCAGCCCCCGGCAGGAGAGCACCCGAGTGATCCAGCTGATGCCCAGTCCCATCATGCACCCTTTGATCCTGAACCCCCGGCACTCCGTGGATTTCAAACAGTCCAGGCTTTCCGAGGATGGGCTGCACAGGGAAGGGAAACCCATCAACCTCTCTCATCGGGAAGACCTGGCCTACATGAACCACATCATGGTCTCCGTGTCCCCGCCTGAAGAACACGCTCTGCCCATTGGGAGAATAGCAGGTGAGTGAGCTTGCCCATCCCTCTCACGACTCTCCAGCATCAGGGGCACCTGACAAAGCTCTGCTGCCCTCTGAGAGTCTCACAGTTGGCCTCACCATTCCCGATTAGGTGCCCACAAAGGCTCTGGGAGGGCAACTGGAGGCTTCTGCCTAGATGAGGCAGGATCCCTAATGGCCTGGTTAATGAGCCGCTGGGATGGCGTAGTTAATGAACCTCAGAAATGTTAAGAAACAAATGTCCTGCACACAGCTTACAAGGAGAGTCACACCAGAATCATGGCTAAGTGAAAACATTTAAAATAAAAGGTTTATGAGCGTGCTAATGGCCCTGTCCTGGAGTTTCAGCAGCTAATTAATGACCAGACACAGCATAAAGAACCTTTGTCTCAGAGTCATGGCCGTATCCATCCTATGGGCAGTGACTCAGTGTAACTTTCACCTTGGGAGCAGGGAAGAGAGGAAAACTGGATTGTGGTAGTAGATGCTAGTGTTGTTAGGTCATTTGGGCAGAGGAAACCACTCCCAAGTTCTTTTTCTTCTATGATGGCAAGCCCAAATTTGCTTACCTAAGACAAGAAGCCAGTGGAAACCAGTAGGGGAAAACAAAAAAGAAATCTACGCCTTGCCTTTTTCCTAGTCTGCTAACAATTAACATACAATCACTCTCCAAAAAGCCTCATGCTCTGTTGGGCAAGGCAAACTCTTCCCAGAATGTCTGTCCATTCATGGGACATTTGTTGAGCACCTACTATGTACAGATAAATGCATTAGGTACACAGCATACAGGGCTGATTGTTAACACACAGTATCTTTTTGCTCAGGGAATTGAGAACTTAGTGAGAGAAGCAAAACAGGAAAAACACTGACATACAAGGGCAAAAGGAAATAAATTCAACATCTAATTTTTTTCGGTGCCAAACATTCATTGAATACCTACTGTGTGCCAGAATAATAAAGCAAAGCAGAAAGAAGGTACATTTTGACTAGAGGGACCAAAAAAAGGCTTTGCAGGGGGGATACTGATGTGATTATGCTTTCAGTAGTGGGAGGGAGGCCTGGAGGAAGAAGACATGTCCTTCTGTCCATGAGCTGGTGCTCCAGCTAGCCATCTGGATGCATAGACATTTCTGCAGGACTGCTTCACCTCCACCTTGACTCATTATCTCTTTTTTTATTTAAGCCATTTGTTTCTTGAGTTTTCTCTGGTCCCAATTACACCTCCCATGTTGCCTCTTTTTGTTGTTATAAGTGATTTACATTAGGAATGTTGAATCAAGAAAATAAAATAGAGGCTGGAGGCGTAGCTCAATGGTAGAGCACTTGCCCAGCATGTGGAAAGCTCTGGGTTTTGTCCCCAGCACTTAAGAAAAAACAGAAAGGAAGAAAATGAGGGAGGTCAGTGGGTCCTCGTGGACCACTCCTGGAGGCTGTTAACCTACAAGAAATGACTCATACGTTGAAAAGAGTTTTTTTWAAAAATTGGAATATGTTTGGGATTCAACTGAAAATCCTCCCACAGGTTTGGGGGATGGGAAGTGGGTGGGGTAAACAGGACAGGTTAGCCAGGAGCTGGCTGACAGTTTCATGGTGATGGATGCACAGGGGTTCTCATTATTGTTCTCTCCACTTTTACACATATATTAATTTTTGTGTTCGTGGTGCTGGGTATTGAACCCAGGGCCTTGTACACACAAGGCAAGCACTCTACCAACTGAGCTATACCCCCAGCCCTACATTAATTTTTTAATAATATAAAAAGAAACTATGCAGGGGGGRAAAAAAGGAACAGAAGATAAAAAAGCAAAGAGCCTGGGCAAAAACACATGAATTTCCTCAGATATTGGAGACAGAGCAGGGGTCAGAGTGTTGCTGTGAATAATATAACGACCTCTCTGGTGCTTTCCAGGCAAGACCCCTTTTGTCTACATAAACCCTTCTCATACGGTCTGTACTACTTGATATTTTCACATCTTCTTTACTCACTTATAATTCTCAGGGCAGCTCTTTGAGGTAGATTTTTACTGCTATATTCATTTTATGTGGAAGGGCTCTTTGTACAGGGGAAACCACAGAGAGAATTGAACCACAGAAGGAATTGAGACCCAGAGAGGCAACATCCTTTGCCCAAGGTCAGGTGGCCTGCTGCCCCATTGGTGGCTGTCCATAGTGCTGCCCTCCAGAGGTCTGACTTCCTCATCAAGAGTCAAGATCTGTCACGTCCACCTCCTCCGTGACCCCATCTCAACCACAGACTTCTTAGGAATCTAAGATTAGCCCATATATTCAGAAAGATATACTGTTTTAGACTTAAGGAGTTGTTTCCCCTTGTTTAATAGGTTTGTCAACTTTAAATCATCTGTCCCTTAAAATCATTCCACTGTTTTTTTTAATTAATTAACTTATTTTAATTAGGTATATATGACAGCAGAATGCATTTTGATTCATTGTACAATTGCAGCCAACTTTACATTTCTATGGTTGTACATGATATAACATCTCGCCATATGTGCAGTCATGCATGTACCTAGGGTAATAATGTCCATGTCACTTTTTTTGTTTTTGTTTTGTTTGTTTGTTTGTTTGTTTAATCTCATTCCTGGACACAGCATTGTTTGTTGATGGATGCAGACTCATCAAACTTTGTACCACCCAAGCAATGAGCCTTGGTATCTCTGATGTCCTCTCTCTTTGAGAACACACAGAGAGGAAGAGCCTCTGGTTTTCTTTATGAATCTCGGAAGTCAGAATGTTCATGTAAAATAATCCTGGAGCCAGATCATATGGGGCAATGCATTAACCCCTTCAGTAAGACAGATTATTAACATTCTAATGATATATTCAAAAGTTTTAAAATCTCCAAATATATGCGTTAACTAATTGAACCAAATCCAAGATGAACGAATTTAACTGCTAGGCATTGTTTTTCTCAGAGGTCAAATGACAGATTTGGAGAGGGTGAGCTCTGAAGTTCCTTCCCACTCTGCAAGTCGGCAATCTAACACTGTCTTTATTCCATAACCCTCTGAAGAGGTCTTGTCACAGTGTTAGGTATCTCCAGGTACCCCTGCCTCCCTCCCCCATGCCCCTGATGTCTTTCTGGACGACTCAGATCCTTGAAAAACTGATCCATCTATTGGAGGTCGAATTCCTTGAGTGATCTCTATGTATGACTTAAGATTCTGTCATGACTGAGCAGCCACAAGAAGCCTTTAAATCTCTATAAAGCAGCTGTTAGATGAGAAAACTTAGTTCCTTAAGGCTCTTTAAATGAGCAGAGCACAGAAAGAAATGAAGATACTGCCAAATGTCACACTGATGAGTGCCACAGCTGGAGGGTATAGATGGCAACATTACTCATGGATGTGGGTCAAAAACAAAGTCGGATTCCCACCATTCACATATCATTTGCCTCCATACACTAGGACTTCGACATTCAGACACCTTCTGTGTTTATGGGACTGTACTGCGCTCCTGTGAGGTGGGAGTTCACGAAGGTGTAAGGCACAGGCTCTATCATGAAAGAGCTGAGCAGAGTTAGCTGTAACAGTGAAGCGGTGATGCGTGTCTTAGTACTGGAGGAGGCCAGGGCGGCCGCTTGGAGGGCAGCCTTTAGCTGGGCTTGGAAGAACGCTGAGAATATAGACAAGAGGAGGTTAGAGAAGAAGAGGTCACTCCAGCTAGAGAAAACTCCCAGGAGCAAACACAACCTAAGGCCCAGTGTATTTTTTTTTCCTACTTTAGGTAGAAATTTAAATTTACCATTTAACCTGGTCAATTAAAAGGATCAGTTTTCATAAAATTCTCTTTCTTGTAATGTTTGAATATTTCTGAAATTATGATGCATTGTACAGTTAAAAGACTATACGCAAAACTGTGACAGTTTACCTGGGTATTTACCATGTGGAAAAAAAACGAAATAATTAATAAAGAAAATTCAGTAGATGGTTGACAGATCACAAATTAGATCTAGTTAAATATAACATGTAGCTTTTTTTTTTTTCCCCCGAGAGGATAAGGACTATTATTAAGAGCTTAACAAGTTGGAGTGACTAGCAAGAGAGAGAGACAAGTTCCCTGGGATCTGTTTTTTTATTGAATAACCAATGATGTATGTAACAATGAGTTACCTGCTTCTTCCTGTGATATTTTCTATTTATTATCTTCAGGAAAGGATTGCTGGAGGGTTAGTGGAGGAGTGGGAAGCATAACTATCTACTAGAACATTTCTCTATCTACAAAAGTCTTACTGTAGACTGTGTCCCACCTGTGTTTCACAGGCAAAGGGACTAACTGGCCATGAGCACCCACAGATTGGGTGTGACCCTAGTAATGCTGGGAGTCACATTTTCAGTATGCACAGCAGTTTCCCCTAGCCCATGGTTTCAGTTACCCGTGGTCAATCAAAATCTAAAAATATTAATGGAAACTTCCAGAAAGTTACAAGTTTTAAATAACTTATTATTAGTATATCAGTATAATTGTTCTATTTTATTATTAGCATTGTAACCTCTTACTGTGCCTAATTTATAAACTAAACATTATCTTAAGTATGCATGTGTAGGGAAAGATAGCATATCTATGGTATCCTGTATTAGTTTCAGGCGTCATCCACTGGGGGTCTTAGAATTTATTCTACATGGATAAGGGGAACTACTTGTATTGAAATTCCTTCTTAAGATTAGATAATTTCAAAGCTAGAAGCATCCTTTACACATGAAGGAACTGACATTCAGACACATTAGTATTACACCCTCCAGCCTCTGTCTACTGCTTTTCCCAAAATGCTGTTTCTTTCTGTCCTGGGTCTCTTGTCCATTCCTTGGAGCAAGGATTAAAGGTCTGGCTAAATCCAAACACCACCTCTTTTTATAAATTAGGTGTTAGTAGAAAATAGTAGGTGTGTGTCTACTTTCATGCTGCACTGGGAGTAGAATTGAGTAGTTCCAGAGATTGTGTGGCCACAAAGCCTCAAGTGTTCACTAATTAGCTCTACACAAAAGG